TTATGCAGCGTTTGGCAAGCCCCAAGCCCTTATATCAGATGATGATGATGGCAACGAAACTAGTTCTATCCAAAATAATACTCAACCAACATCCCAAGTTAGTACTACTGGAGGAGCTGCTACACTAAGCGAGACCTCTATGACTCAAAAACGGGGAATGGTTCTTCCATTTGAGCCCCATTCCCTCACATTTGACAATGTTGTGTACTCTGTCGACATGCCTCAGGAAATGAAAGCTCAGGGTGCTACCGAGGATAGATTGGTGCTTCTAAAGGGTGTGAGTGGAGCCTTCAGACCTGGTGTTCTCACTGCTTTGATGGGTGTGAGTGGGGCCGGGAAAACAACCCTTATGGATGTCTTGGCGGGAAGAAAAACTGGTGGATACATTGATGGAGACATTAAAACTTCTGGGTATCCGAAGAAACATGAGACTTTTGCCCGAATTTCAGGTTATTGCGAACAGAATGACATCCATTCTCCCTTTGTCACTGTTCACGAGTCACTAGTTTACTCAGCTTGGCTACGTTTACCAGAGGGTGTGGATGGTAATGCTAGAGAGGTTAGTAAATCAAAATAACTTTTCATCCTTATCAATGACAAGACATACTAATTCTCCATGTGAGAACATTTACGTGTGGCTAATTTAAACGCAGATGTTTGTTGAAGAAGTAATGGAACTAGTTGAGCTGAATCCATTGAGGTCAGCCCTTGTTGGGTTGCCCGGAGTTAACGGTCTCTCAACCGAACAACGCAAAAGGCTAACAATAGCAGTTGAGTTAGTGGCCAACCCATCAATCATATTCATGGACGAGCCAACTTCAGGTCTAGACGCCAGAGCTGCTGCAATTGTGATGAGAACTGTGAGGAACACTGTTGACACGGGCAGAACTGTTGTCTGCACCATTCATCAGCCCAGCATCGACATTTTTGAAGCTTTCGATGAGGTAAATCAAATTATTTAAAAACTAGTGAACTGATGATCGAAGAATTGAATCCAGTGGTAGACAATACCCTTCTGAAAGAATACATTTTGCAGCTCTTTCTAATGAAGAGAGGAGGACAAGAGATCTATGTGGGCCAATTGGGCCGCAATTCATGTCATTTGATCAAGTATTTTGAGGCAAGTTTCAAGCCCTCAAATAACCCACTTTTAATCTATTACCACATTACTGATCTGATTTACTTGTGTGAAAGTAGTCAATTCACGGAGTGGCAAAAATCAAAGACGGATACAACCCAGCAACATGGATGTTGGAAGTGTCAGCTTCAGCTCAAGAAATGTTACTAGGGGTTGATTTCTCTGATATCTATAAGAACTCAGACCTCTTCAGAAGAAACAAAGCTTTGATAACTGAACTCAGCTCACCTCTCCCTGGTTCCAAGGACTTGTATTTCCCAACAGAATATTCACAGAGTTTCTGGATCCAATTCCTGGCATGTCTGTGGAAGCAACACCTGTCTTACTGGCGTAACACATCTTACACTGCAGTTAGGTTCCTCTACACAGCCGTAATAGCATTGGCTTTTGGGACAATGTTCTGGGACCTTGGTACCAAAACGTAAGCTCGAACACTGCATTTTTTTCTTTTTAGTTGACGAACTTGTATTTTTTAGGTGGTAAATCTTGTGGTTTCTTATCTTTCAGTGAAAGAAGGCAAGATTTGTTTAATGCTATGGGGTCCATGTATGCCGCAATTCTCTTCCTAGGTGTGGAATACTCTTCTGCAGTTCAGCCAGTGGTCGTGGTTGAACGCACAGTGTTCTATAGGGAGAAGGCAGCAAGAATGTATTCTGCATTGCCGTATGCCTTTGGGCAAGTGAGCTTTCGACTTTTGCACCCCACTTTTTTGGTTACGCGCAGCACAAGTGTTAAAAATGTAAATCATCGTAACATTGTTTTTTTTTTTGGTTTTGTTTGTGACAGGTTGTTATTGAAATTCCTTACATAATTTCACAATCAGCAATTTACAGTGTGATCGTTTATGCGATGATTGGATTTGAATGTACCGCGGCTAAATTCTTTTGGTACTTTTTCATGATGTTCTTCTCATTGCTATACTTCTCATTCTACGGGATGATGTCTGTCGCTGTTACCCCCAATGAGAGCATTGCAGCCATCGTCGCAGTCTTCTTCTATTGTGCATGGGATCTCTTCTCCGGATTCATCATTCCACGACCAGTAAGTTTTATCTATTTATTTTTAAAAAATACAAAAAAAAAACATGTAACGCTCAATGAAGGATAATACCATTAACATTTTATGTGATGTATATAAAAACAGAGCATGCCTGTGTGGTGGAGATGGTACTTCTGGGCGTGCCCGGTGGCATGGACAATGTACGGATTGGTGGTGTCACAATTTGGAGATATTGAGGACAAAATGAGTGACTCTGATCAGACTGTGAAGCAGTTCCTGGAAGACTACTTTGGGTATAAACACGATTTTCTGGGAGTGGTTGCGGCTGTGATTATTGCGTTCCCGGTCGTCTTCGGATTCACTTTCGCCTTTGCCATTAAGGCATTCAATTTCCAGAGTAGGTAGGTATATATATGTGTGTGTGTGTTCTTGCCCCAGTTTAAACAGTGTGACATATTCTCAGGTGGAGGAGCTAATAAATTTTGTATGGATGTTTGGAACTTTCTTGTTATATATTTACTTTCAAGTCATCTTCATGTAATACGTCTTAAGATTCAGTGGGTCTCCTCTCCTATATATGTTCAACCACAGAAGAGCTCTTGACATGGAGTTTTTCTGGCCCTTATTATTGATACAAGTCATTCCATTGAATGCATGGTCCTTGTTAAAGTGTTTTATAAGATTTTAATTTTTTGACACCAGCTTTAATACTCCTTCCATCTAAGTTGGTTCTTATTATGTTGGAATTTCGGTGGGTCGAATGAACGGGATAGAGTGTTGGGAGAAATTTGATCACTTGCCAATATAAAGTCTGGATCCATTTTCTATTCAAAAGTTTAAGCTAATGAGTAGTCTTTCACCTTTCTTTATATGAGAGTAGTGTTTATATTATTTTTCGGATGTGGGATGAATCCAACATATTATGTATTACGAGGCTTGACCGACTTTATTTGATTATAGATGTAAAATTCTAAAAAAATTATACTTACAAAACTAGATAGAAAGTCAATATTGAATTCAATTTGTTTGATTGTAGGTGTAAAATTCAAAAATAAAACTTATATATTCTAGGGTATTTAAAAACTAGATAAAAGTTTGAGTAATATGCATAAATAATAGTCCCCGAGTTCTTCAATAAATGGGTAAACAGACCTCGGACTTTTAAAATTGCGAAATAGTCCTTGTGATAAAAGAACTGTTGCATAATTAGTCCTTTCTTTAAGGAAAACGTAAAGAATGGGGTCGACGGCCCGATGTAGTTCCTTTCTTCAAGTAGTTATATTTTAGGGTAATATCATAGGCTACAAGAGGTGGAAGAAGACCCTTCCATGCTTTTAATCACGAAGACGAGGGTAGTTTTGTCAGATTAGCTTCTTCATTTTATTTCATGCTTTCCATTTTTTCATAGTATGCGCGTATTTTGGGTACTTCACGTTTATCTAAAAGGACTATATATGAAACAGTTCTTTGGACATATGGATTATTTTGTAACTTTTAAAAGTATAAAGACTATTTACGAACTTATGGAAGACCACAAGAACTATTAATGCATTTAATTTGACTCTAAAAGTTTATGCAAAATAAGAAGTGACATGACTATATTATCGTACTCTGTATGACATTTATAGTGAAAATTGAAAATAACTAAATAAAATGAATAAAATTTGACTGTATAAATAGTGTATAGGATGAACCAATTTGGATGGAGAGAGTATCAATTTATCTCACAGACAACATACAATTACGGGGTGTTGGAAATTTTTAAGTAAATTGGACGATTTTCGGACATAAATTCGGTTGGGTCCACAAAATTATTTTTCAAAAATAATTATGGACGATTAATCTCGTAAGTAAGACGGACGTCTTGACATATTACACGCCATAAACGGTGCTCGGGTGAATGAGAAATTAATTCTCAAAGTTGAATTCTAAGGTAGAGTAAATGCCTTTGTCCCACACCGGTTTCTAAACCTTTCGTATTCTCATATTTAAGCTTAGGCATTGAAGTGAGCTTATGAAAGGAACAAGAAGAGGACTCCTCGCGCGCCCGCCGCCGCCGTCCGTCCGTCCCGTCGCGCGCGTCGGGGCGGGGCGGGGCGGGGCTGCGGCGTGGCTAGATCTTTTTACGAGATCAAAACAAAAACGCGCGTGTACACTTCGTTATTAACGAAGTGTACGAAATTAAGGCATGCATGCATGGAGACGAAGGGATGGCCTGCGTCTCCTCGGTAACTCCGTCCAGTCCAGTTGAGGAGCCAATTCCGCTCCTATAAAAGGAGGGTTGGTTGCAGGGAGAAAACACACAGCAAACACTCGAAAATCTCCCATTTCCGATTACCTTCTCCGGCTATAACTCCTGTCATTCTCGTTCGCCGGTGCTTTGTTCTATCGCTCTAGACCTAGCACGAAGCGGTTTTATCCTGGGAGGAGATTGCTCACGTTAGCCAGTGCGGGAGGCGGGCAATACTACCTTAAGGAAAGCTTCGGCGACTCCGCTTTCCTTACCCTTCTTTGCTCCGGCGTCGTTCCTCTCTCCGTCCGTTCGTGTTCTTCCGTTCGTTCAAGCTTCCGAAGACTCCAAGTTTTATTTTCTTTTATTTTGTTGTAAAATCCGAACGTTTTATAAGTTCGGATTATTTTACTTTTATTTTCCCGCTGTAATAGTTTAACATTCTTAAGGTAGTATCGATGGAGTTCGGATTCGGCATCGTGGGTTCCTCCGGCAACGGAATAAGTTCCGAAATTCCGGTGGAAACCTCTTCGGTTGCCATGGTTGTGCCGTCCTCACCACTACCCTTCGGGGCAAGTGTGGGGGCCGCGACCATAACGTCGTTTGCAATGCCGAGCTCGATCTTCGGGTCGGCCCCTCGACCCATTCCCGGGCTCGAAACCACGGGGGATCACCCCGTCGGTAACTCGAACCCGTTTCTTGGATCGACTATGGCTTCGGCCTCGACGGTCAACCTTGGACCGAACACGGGCTTTCCCACACCGGTCAACGTAGGACCGAACGCGGGTTTCCCCACACCGGTCAATCCATTCGTTGGACCCCATTGGGCGACTAACGGGCCGTTCCTCCACACGCCCAATGCGGTTGGGCCGATTACGGTGCCCGCTAGTTCGGTTCAAAGGCCACCAAAGTTCAATGGGACGAACTTCAAAATGTGGCAACAAAAGATGATGTTCTTCATGACCGTCTTGGGATTTGCTGAGTACCTGCAGCAAGATCCCCCCAGCCCAATGAAGCCAACGACCCCCTCGTGGCGATGGTGAACCAAGCATGGTACCACAACAATTATCTCGCCATCAACATTATCCTCGAGGGGTTGGGAGATTCGTTGTACCCCGTCTACGCCGGTGCAACGCTCGCCAAAGAGCTCTGGAATAGCTTGAACAAAAAGTATCAAGCTGAAGATGCCGGCACGAAGAAGTTCATCGTCGGGAAGATGCTGGACTACAAGATGGTCGACAGCAAATCTGTTGTCGCCCAGGCTGAGGAGCTTACGGTTATCTTCAACAAATGCAATGAAGAGAAAGTAGGCGTCAGCGAGGCCTTCCAAGTGGAGGCCATCATCCACAAACTTCCACGGTCGTGGGAAGATTTCCAAGCCGACCTCAAGCTCAAAAGAACGGAGCTGAATCTGGAGCAACTGCTCACGCGGTTGAGGATCCGAGAGGAAGGGCTTGCTAGAAGAAATGGAGGGGCTAAGGCGAATGTTGTAGAACATCCGTCGGGCTCTTCACATGGCGGGAAGGACAAAAAGAAGATGGGTCCTAAAGGTGGAGTTTCTAAATTTGCAGGAAAGTGCTACAATTGTGGCATTATCGGACATCGTTCCTCCGATTGTAGGAAGAAGAAGCCACAGAAGAACAAGAAGAAAACCACCGAAGCTATGTGTGCAGAGCTCGATAACTTGGACCTCTGCGCGGTTGTCACCGAGGTGAATCTAGTCGGGTCAAACCCGAGGGAGTGGTTTGTGGACACAGGAGCCACACGCCATATTTGCTCAAATAGGAGCATGTTTCACGACTTCCAGGAGACCTCCGGTGATAAGGTCTGGATGGGCAACTCGGCCCAGTTAGAGGTCCAAGGGGTGGGCAAGATTAAGCTCAAAATGACCTCAGGTAAAGAGTTAACACTTAACGACGTGCTCTATGTGCCGGATATTCAGGAGAATTTAGTGTCAGGGTCATTGCTGATCAAACACGGCTTTCGGATGGTGTTTGAATCAGACAAGCTAATTTTGTCCAAGAAAGGGATTTTTATTGGGAAGGGTTACATTTCTGATGGGCTAGTCAAGCTCAATGTAATGACTGTGCATGAAAAGATCAATAAAAATCCTGTTGCTTATGTGTGTGAGTCTTCTAGTTTATGGCATGGTAGATTAGGACATGTTAATTATGCATCTCTCCGGAAATTAATTAACATGGAACACATACCTAAGTTTAGTATTGACTTAACCCACAAATGCGAAACTTGTGTCGAGGCTAAGTCAACTCGAAGTTCGTTCCAAACAATCGAACGGAACACTCAACCTCTAGAGTTGGTTCACACCGACTTATGTGATTTTCGAACAACGCCTTCAAGAGGAGGTAATAAGTACTTTATTACCTTCGTCGATGATAGCACGAAATATTGCTATATCTATTTACTAAAAAGTAAAGATGAAGCGTTAGACACTTTCGTTCGTTATAAGAACGAAGTGGAAAATCAACTCAATCGCAAGATAAAAGCTTTGAGAAGCGATTGAGGTGGTGAGTATGATGCTCCACTTAATGAGTTTTGTGCACAACATGGAATTGTGCATCAAGTAACCCCACCGTATACACCACAGTCTAACGGAGTAGCGGAGCGCAAAAATCGCACTCTAAAAGACATGATGAATGCGATGCTGCTTAGTTCTGGATTACCTCAGAACATGTGGGGGGAGGCTGTTTTATCAAGTAATTATTTACTAAATAAAATACCTCGTAAGAAACTTGACAAAACTCCGTATGAACTTTGGCATAATAGGAAATCTTCCTATAAATATCTCAAAGTGTGGGGGTGTCTCGCGAAAGTACTTGCACCACCACCAAAGAAGATGAAGATCGGTCCAAAAACAGTTGATGGAATCTTCATCGGGTACAGTAGTACGTCATACCGGTTCTTGGTGTATAAATCAGATAATCCTGAAATTCACAAGAACACAATCATCGAGTCACGGAATGCAACATTTTTCGAGCATATTTTTCCGTGCAAGTCAGGTGACGAAGCCAGTTCGTCCAAACGTTCTCATGCTGAGATGATGGATAATGATGATCCAAATCAGTTGAATTCCGATGACGATGATGAAGAAGTCGAACATGAGACTGAACTGAGACGAAGTAAAAGAATGCGAACTGAAAAGACGTTCGGTTCTGACTTCATAACATATCTGATAGAATTTGACAAAGGAACTTTGTCATTTCTAATGGAAAATGAACCCGATATTCTAACCTGTTTGGTAGAAAAGGAACCGCGAACCTATCACGAGGCCGTAACCTCAACAGAGGGACCTCAGTGGCAAGAGGCCATAAAGAGTGAAGTTGATTCTATCCTTCAGAATCACACTTGGGAACTGGT